AAAAATACTTTACAAATATTTCATGTAATGGTTTAAAGACTTACTTAAAAATATTTGAAATATAAATAATTTTTATTTTTAATATTATACACATAAAAATATGTGTTAGTACATAATCTCTTTTTAAAAATTATACAATAATAATTTGTGTTTTTCTGTACAATATTTATAGCACTCAAACATTTAACAAGTTTTTTTAAATAACTGATTTGTGTTTTTGTTTATAATAAATTTTAAATTAAATTGATAATACTGTTTTAAAAATTTCAATTTTAAATAATATAAATGTTATTAAAGCTACCAGGATTAGCTATGTTATAATGAGTATGTTGCTACTACAACTAATTTGTTTTTTCTGACAATAAAAACACTAAATTACCTTTCTAAAAATGAATTATAATTTTTAAAAATAAATATTTATACTTTTCAAATTTATGAATGGAAACAGAAATTATGATATATGCAGACCTAAAAAAGTGTTTGTAATATTTATAAATTAGGGAAGACTAAATATTAAGTTTTTTTATATTTCAATTTAATGTAGATATTGTTTCGATTAGCGCTTTAAAAAAGGTACAGACACACTCAAATTATAAATATAAATTTTTTAATGTAATTTTTAAATTTTAAAACCTTTTATGATTTATGAAAAAATACTATAGATACTAGAGAAAGACAAACTCAATTAATTTAGTTTATTTGGGTTCAAGTGAAATTATTGGTAATAATTATTAATAAACTTCTTTATTATTTTAACAACCCTCCCGTTGAACCATTTAGTAGTAGATAATAGGAATTGTTGAATGTTATTTACAAAATTTTCATAACAAATATATATGTAATTTTGGCGTCTATCAGATTATGAGTTGCCTAATCAATCCTAGGGAATCAATCGAAATTATGCCTTTAATATTATTTGACCAGAAAAGTAATGTTAACATATTTTTTATTTTTAATATAATTTTCCATGTTTGAGTAAAAAATTATATTAAAAACACAAACAAAATCAATGGAAACATGATAAAATAATTTTTAAGTTTTTTAACCATAAATCATTGATGTATCAAGGAGTTAAAACTACTATTACGTGATCAGTGTAATAAATTTATAGTGTTTTTTATGTTAAGACGTCTTAAAAAGGTAGATAAGGGTGTATATTGACAAAAAGATATAAAAGCAAGTCGATAGTCTAGAAAAAAGAAATAGATAATATTTAAGTACATCAACAATAGGTATGTAAACTATAATAATACATTTCTTTTCGTATTAAGATATTATTATCAAGTATTAATATACCTTTAAGCAGCATACTACAGGTGTGTTATAAATAGTTTAACAATCAAATTTGAAAATGAGTTGGAGTTAAAGGTGAACGTTGGAAGAAATATAATTATGAAAACAAATGATTTAATTTGAAGGCGGTGTTTGAAATATGTCAAAAAACCCACATCCATTCCAAGGTGATTATATGACAGTTCTAATAGATTAAAGTCTATTTAGATACAAATAAAAATACTACCACAGTAAATAGTCTGAAAGGGAACATATGTAATTAGTTTGGTAGATTTTTCATTCACCCAGCTAAAATTTCGACAGTTTTCGTGACTAATAGAGCCACTTTAACATTTTTATCATAATTAAAAAAGTTTATTTACAGAAAAGTGTAATATATTATGACGAATAGCGTATTTTTCACATGTTGACATAAGTAGTTTGTTATCTTTACAAATCATTGTTAATCACAATGGAATTTTTTTTAATTTTACTAAAAGTTTTTATACTCAGAACATCGAAAGTACATGGAATAAGTGCAGGTATGTTCTTAAAATGTAAAAAGGTTGTATAACATCTAGGCTAGATTTGTAGTTCTAAGAATTTGCGTATAAAAATAATGTTGGATTTACAAAAGACTTTGATGATTAATTGCTTTTATTAAAATTCTAATAAATTTAGTTTTCTATTGTATTTTTTGTTTATTCTAATGAAAAAAAATTAATTCATTATTTAAATATATGATGTTTTTTAAATTGTCTAATTAGTTACATTTTTAAAAAAATATAGAAATTTTGAAAAAATATCTCCATGAATAAATTATTTTGATTAATTATATAAGTTACAACAACATTCACTAATAATTTATAGTTATAAATATATTTTACATATAAAAACTGTCATTTTTTTGTTATAAAACCCATTAAAGTTAAAAAATTTTAAACTTTTGTAAATATTATACTTTAGAACCATAAAAAATTAACCTCATAATTTAATTAATTATCGATTGTATCAATGTCCATAATGTCGTAAATATATTGAATGCAACTATCAGGGTAAAGTATAAATAAACGTATGATCATATTTATAAAATATGTTTCAGATTTTAATTTTGTAATATTAATTATCACATTGTTAGGTATGTCATTTTGAACTTGATTTTCTAAATTTATGGTAAAATTATAGATAATTTGTGTTTTACATGACATTTTTTTAATGAAATACTCATAAAACAATTCAAATGATAAATCAATCTGTTCATTGCCTTTGTAATATTTAAAGCCATACTTTTTAAATTCACATGGGTAAAAAGAATATTTTGCAATAAATATCAATTCATGTAAAAAATTTTCAAATTCTTTTGTTACAAATTCATAATTTTCTTTTATACTTTCATTTTTAAAATATGCATCTAATAATGAAACATCTGTTAAACACAAGTTTGGGTTGTTTTCATAATAAAATTGAATATTAAACCTAACAGAATCTTTAAACTTAGAAGATAATTCTATTAATTGAAAAAAACAATTATTCTTTAGTAAAAAACATATTTTTAGTTTATACAAGCATTGCACTAATTTAAAAAGTTTTTGAACATCTAAGTTTTTTTCAGAATTTTTCAATATTACAGAATAATTTAGAAATTTCCAAATATTTTTTTCATTGATTATATTTTGAATTATCATCAAATATCTATTAGATTCTTGAATTGATAGTGAAGCATGATAAAAAGGGATTTTATTGTTTTGCTTAAGCAATAAAATAAAATAATTTTTTATATCCATTCCACTATCTATAAAACTTGTTATCAGATAATAATGTCCAGTATTATTGCATTTAATAAATGTTATTTTTCTATTTTCTAAGTTATTAATAATTAAATATTTTAGTGAAATTGATTGAGATATTTCTATACTTTCAGATTCAATAATAGATTCTTCATTAAATTCTGATCTCAAATATGTTTTTAAAATTACATTAGGAAAAAGATATTGGTTATTTACATATAAAATACTTTCATCACTTGTTTCTGAATCATCTGACGTATCTGAACTTGTAATTAAAACAATAGAATTATTTAAATTAGCACGGTTTACATAAAATGAATTTCTTAAATAGCTTTTTAGTATTTTATTGCTAATTAAAAATAATAAGTTAATCATGGATTAAAAAATGAAAAATTTTTAAATAGAAAATGATAAAAATTAAAAATATGTTTAATTTTAAAATTATTAATTTAATGAACAAATCTAACTATTTTATGTAATATAAATACATAATATAAATATTTTATAATAATCAGAAGACTTATCATAAATATTGGTAGTTTTGAATTTGAAACATTAGAGGTTTTAGATATTTAAAGTAAATTACTAATAGATTATCATGAAAAACATTTTATAAATAACCCAAATAAATAAATAAAGATTTAAAATCTACAAGATTTCTCGTTTATAAAATTGATAATCGTATTTTGTCTGATAAATGTTTTATTAAACTAGTTTATTGAATTATTGTTAAATAATCAGATAAATTAAAGATATCTAAAAATTATTCGAAAACTAAGAAGAAAATTTGTGAATATACAAAGAGGTGTAAATAATATTGAAAAAAGCACAACTGAAAAGTGTGTCAATAATGCTAAATAATAACAGATCTTATAGTACAATTTATTTTGTTTAAAAAAATAGTATAAATTATAAATTATTTTTTATAAATTAAACAAACTAATTGGAGAATTTTTAAAAATTTTATTTAATTTGTCTTTGTTTATATATCTTTTGTTATATTTTATTCGTAACCAAACACATTAATATAAACACAATGGATCAAGTAGTTTTCCTCAAAATAAATCCCTTTTTTACAGAAAATAAACTAAAATAAGACTAGATTTATTAGAATCTCAATGAAATTAATAAAAATTCAAAATTTTTATTAAAACTGATATTATTTTTCTAGACTAACTATTCGAGTAACAAATTTAGCATAGAAGTTACAGCACTTTTGTGTATTTAAAGAAAATATTTGTATTTATTCCATACACTTTTATTCTCAGTGTATAAACACCAGTAACATGGTTAACAAAGTTTTCATTGTGATTAACAGTGAAATACGAAAATTGTAAATTACTGTTACTAATAAGTACATAAACATACCATTCATCAGAATGTCTTGTGATTGTTACAAACAAACTCTTTCGATTACTGGTAAAACCGCGTAGGTGATTCTATTAAGCACGACAGCAAACGCAATTTTAGCCAGGGTAAATGACACGTCTACCAAACTAAAAATATACACCTCTTTCTAGCTGTCTGCCACGATGGTGTTTTTGTTTGTGTCTAAATAGGATTTAAACCATTATAACAGTCATACTATCACTTCGAAAGAGATGTATGTTTTCTTTGGTATGTTTCAAACATTGCCTTCAAAGAAGATCATTTGTTTTCATATATATCCCTTGCAACGTTTACCTTTAGCCCGATCTTATTTGAGTTGATTGTTAAACCATTTATAACACACATGTAGTATGCTACTCAAAGGTACATTGAAACTTGATAATAATAACTAAATGCGAATAAAAATCTATTTATTGTAGTTTAAACACCTAAATGTTATCTCATCTCCTTTTCTAGACTGTGGACTTACTTCCATATACTGTTGTCAATATACGTAATTTAGGTTCTTTATTAAAACGCCCTTAGTGTGAAGAAACTTTATTAAGTTTTTATAGAGATTAGTAATAGTAGTTCTAACATCCTTTTAGGCTAATGATTTTTTAGTTAAAAATTTTCTTAAAAATTATTTTACTATTTTTTGCATTGATTTTGTTTTTTATGTAATTTTTTCCCTACGTATATAAAATAACAACTTGATCCAAGACAATTATTTTCTTGTATTTAAAATTTTCATTATTCAATTTCATTAACAAAATACTTTCTCAGAATAAACAATTTTATAAATTAATTTTATCAATTGTAAAAATTTTTATTAAAACCCAATAAGTATTTTTGTATATTAAAAGCTTTGAAATAATTTTTTTAATATTTAATTCGAAATTTTTTATTGTAATAATATAATAAGTGTTTTCATAAGAATTTTTTTGTTCATTGTTGTTATGATAATATGTATAATTTTTTGATATTTTGGGATAATTTAGTAAAAATTTTAATTTTGGGAAGAAAATGATAAAATTTTAAATTAATTTTATTTTAAATATTTCAAAAAATATAATATTTTATAATAAATAAAGAGTAGAAATATGCAAAGCAATATATAATATAAATAATGACAAATAAGATGAATTAAGAGTTAAATGATTTTCTTTAGACAATTTAAATAAGCTATTTACCCTCACTACTAGAAGTTTCAACACTTGTTATAATTTTTACATAACTACAAATAAATATTCAATGATTATAAATTCATAGTTAAACAATTCAATTTGTTCTTATTAATTTACTAGTATGATATACTAAAAATATAACAGTTTTTTAAAATAAAATACATATTTAAAATATTTTATCCTAAGCAAATAAAGAAAGAAAACAGTTTTTTAAATTTATAATAAAATTTATTCTGTCTGCTAATACAGTACAGCTTTTATTGTTTTATAAATTATTTAATAGATAAAATAAAACATGATTTTTACAAAAAAGGTTTACTTTCTTTATATGATTAAAGTCTAATAAAATAGAATAAGTTTATTTCTTTACATCGATTTTAAGAATAAATTAAGTTATTAAAAACTTTTTATTGATTTTATTTTGAGTGAGCTTTACTGATATTTATAAAATTTTTGATCAAAATTCGAATATTGCAATCAATTTTATAATAAAAATTTTTGCTAAATATTTTAATAATTTGCAAACAACTGTAGAACCTCAACAATCAAGTGCAGAATTATTCAAAACAAATGCATAAGTTTTAAAAAACGATGAAAAGGTTAAAATGATTTAATTTAAGATTAATTTTAATTTTAATATAGCAAAAAACAAATCTTGGCTTCTTTCTGTAAATAACATTATAAATTTGTGATAAAAATTCATTAAACCTAGTATCTATTAAAGTTTTAAACAAAGGCATAGATGTTGCGGATCCCCTTATAAGAAAGTTTTTTCAAACAGGAAAACAGTTCATAATTAGATTAATAAATGGTAAATATACCAATTCTAATCTCAAAGCATAATTATTTCAGCCAGCCTTTAATAGTGATAGATTATGACATTATCTAGAATAAAAGGGGTGTGGTCCTTATCATTACTTTTTGTTATAAGCTCACAAAAACAGTTTTAAAAGGTTTCAATGTTAATGACTCTATCATGAATTTTGTGATATAACATACTATATTTATTCATAGCAGAAAAAAAACTTACAAAAGCTGATGTGTTTATAATCACATACCCTTTGTTTATCACATTGATGTGAAAACCCAAAACTTTATCAAGAAACGCGAGGTATTCATGCTCATATTGTTCCTCTTGTTCTCTGAACTTACCTGCATACACAAGGCTTAGCTCAGGTGTGTGATCACAATTTTTATATACAGATACTATTGTGATCTGCTTAAGAGTATAATGAAATTTTATAAGACAAGGATCAGTTGTGCTTAGAGAATATTAATATCAAATACTTTAACCACTTTAATAACTAAATCCTTAAACCTTTACAGACAGTCTGTGTGTAAACAGACAAAAACCACTTTTTTACAGTTTTTTAGTTCATGTCCAAAGCAACAGAGATATTTATTATTTGCATGTCAACAAAACCTCTTGTGGTAATTCTTCTCTTGTTATCAAGAGTTACTCATCTCATCACCATCCTACATTGTTCATTTTAAAGGTTACCATTAAGGTAATTAAAAAAAACAGTTTTCTTTAAATCTAGACATAATTGAAAAAGTTCTATAGTTAGTTGCAAATATTTAAAATTGGTTGAAAAGATTCGAATTTTAATCTAAAAATCTTATATTAACCATATTATTTAAATTATGTTTTTAATAACATATTCAAGTTC